AAGACAATTAAGATTTTTTTTTTGTTTTTGAGTCGGGATCGATTGCTCCACTTGCACTTACTAAAAAACAGATTACATATTTTGTTTGTTTTGAATCAGTTAGTAATTATATCAGGATTAATGTTTTTATTTATCATATAAACTAGAAACTATAAAGTTTTTGGTATTAGTGTTATCGTTTTTTTTTTTTTTTGAAGAGATAATTTAATCTGTTCCAAAGCCTCAGTTAGTTATCGTTTTTCTTAGGAATTTTTCTTATTACATATTTAGTCTCGGAATTCTCATTTCTGTCTCGGCCACGTCCCTGATTTCAAATATGAATAAATTGAAGCAAAAGCATTTCATTCTCAATTTTTTTTGGTTCAAAATCCGTTCCGAATTATCGTATATATGACTATTTATTTGGGTGTAATGATTTTAGATTATTATTGTATTATACAAGAGTAACCAACACAACACTAAAACAAGAAAGTGAGAAAAAGATTACACAATTACGTGGTTTTAGATCTTCCAAACTTTTTGGACTTCGCCGGCGATAACTCACCGGACCTCCTCCGTAGCATCTGTCTCATACCGTCGGCAACAAGTTCTGCTGGATTGGTTTTAAACTTACCACAAAACGACACGTGTGCGTTTAGAGCTTCTTCCACCGTCGTAGTCTTTCTACTACGGCTGGCTTCGTCACTCACCGCCTCGGAGCAAAGCCCACAAAGCCATTTTCCGGCGAAGTTAGCTTTGACTTTACTAATGTAATATTGTGTACAATCTTCCGTTAAGCCACAACACTCGCACGTCACGGATTCAATCTCCATTATTGACCAATCTAGCTCCATAAGTGATATATATATGTTAACGAGAAGAAAATGTTTCACTGTTTTTGAATTTATGACTCTCTAATTTTGGGGATAGATTGAGGATAAAATGCTTTCGTTTTGGTATGAGAATGTTGAATATTAGAGCTAATTGTAAGTTATATATATATACATAATTAATGACAATATATGTTGCATGGTGGGGTTTGTATGTTTTGCTCTTGATTTGGGACAACTAATATTATATTCTAGAGCATTTTAGAAAGTAGAGCAAATGCATTATTACACCTTGGAATCACATTATCTTAAGTATCAAAACGTAAATGATTTATTTCAAGATAAGCATGCACCACATAATTCCTCGATTTCAAGGTTTCTAATTAAGGTGGGCCGTGGGGGCAGCTAGAAACCTTGAAAACAATATGATTTAAGACCAAATTAAGGACATTTAATAAATGTATTTGTATATGTGTTAGTCCACGTAGATGAAAATAATTATTACCAATGTTTGTGTTAATCAAAATAGATTTGACATAAATATATAAAGCAAGGGATGGCCAAGGAGTTGCAATAATTGGCTTTGGCTCCATGTTCTAAGGGACATTGGATTGTGATTTGTGAAAATAGAGACAAAGGTGGTCGAATTTAGGGCTCCACTCTACCATTACTTGACCTTCTATTGATGTTCA